CCCAGCAGAAGGAATATAGTTTTAAAATGGAGAGAGGTTTCGTTTCAAACCCCAGCTCTGGTGTGTGCTCGTTGTGAGATCTTGGGCAAGTTCCTTAATCTTCTGTGCGGGTTTCTTTATCGGGAACGCGTGGCTGGTGTGCGTGTCACAGGGGCCGCGAAGCCTATGGAGCTAGAGCTGGTACAGGCCAAGGTGACGGCGTCCGAGCGCGGCAGCTGTTGGGAACCGAGGGCCGGATTCCCTTCCGGCATCTGGGTGCCGATCACACCGATCACACCGAACGGGGGCGATGGAGCGAAGCCGGCTGGACCTCTGCCAGGGCAAGCACGACCCGGAAGTGGTCTCTCTAACGAGGCGAACAGTCAGAGAAATTGCAGGCAACGTGCGAGAAGAGCCCTGTTTACGGCACCGTGTTGTGCAATGCAAACGCCGGCTGTGGTTATCCCCTGGGACCCAAGACTTGGCTGGAACCCGCATCCCATACGTGGGAGGCCCCAGGGGACGATCCCTCAGGGATCTGGTGGCGGAGGGGCGAGTCCTGGTTCCCTGGTCTCCTCTGCGGCCTCGCTGGCTCCTCGGTTTTGAATCCTCTGCGGTACTGTGTACACTCCGTTGTCACTAGTCACACCACGCCAAGCCCTTTTACGTCACTCCCCAAACCACACTGACACAGCGCTGTGTGCACCGCAGGCTTTGCTGAAGGTTCAGGGGGAAAGGAGCCCTTCCTCCCTCCTGTTCCTTCCCTCCCTCCCTCCTTCCCACCTTCCTTTTTAGTGTTTATTTTTGAGAGAGGGACACAGGATCCAAAGCGGGTTCTGCACTGAAAGCACAGGGCCTGACGCAGGGCTCAAGCCCACGAACCGTGAGATCATGACCTGAGCGAAAGTTGGACTCTCAAGCGACTGAGCCCCCCAGGCGCCCCCAAGAGCATTTACATTTTAGTGCATTTTGTAAAAGCTCTTTGGACCTCCTGCCACCAGGGAGCCCTCTGGGGACCCCTCTCCTGGGGCTCCAGCGCCCAGACACCACGCCATGCGGCTCCATCCCGCTTTTCTACTACTCAGCCTGTCCTCTGGCGTCTGCTTTCTCGGCAGAAGAGGGGACTTGGGGGTCTCACTTTCCCAGGGGGTCTGTTCAAGTGTTGTTGGAGCCACATGGCGAGCTCTGACGTCACTGTGCATTTCGGTCTCTGCTCCGCAGGCCAACCGTGAGCCCTCTCGGGGCAGGGCCTGTATGGGATCTGTGTCCCCCGAGGTGGAACAGGACAGTGGCCGGGAATCCGCGTGCTGCAGCCAAGCTGCCTGGGTCCAAACCCTGCCCACACGGCTTCCTGGTCACATGGCCGTGCTGGGGACTGGGCTGTTGGGAGGACTGAGATGGGACAGCGGGACGGGGGCGCTTCAGGGGCGTGTGAGGCATGTGCTGGGCGCTCAGCAAGCCCCTGCGCTAACCACCCCCGATGGACCCTTTGCCGTCGGTCTGCAGGGACCAGCTCCGTGCCGGGGGACACTTGTCACTCTAAGCAGGGGAAGAAGCCTTTGCTGGGACGGAGTCACCCAGTTTCCTGATGTAGCAGGACGAAGCCTGAGTTCTTCTAGGAGTTTTTTCCCTTCGTGAGATTGCAGTTGAAATATTTGGACACAACAAAGGAAACTTTTATTTAACCAGGCTGGGGGGGGGGGGGAAGGAGTGGAAAAGGTTCTATTGTTTCCATGGCAACAGTAACAGGCTCCAGAACCTTTAGGTTTCCCTGCTCATTACTAACCCTTAACATTGAAGATTCCTTGTGGGCATTTTTTTTCTGTCTTCACACAACAAACTAAGGCAGGTTTAAAAATTCTTTATTTGAATCTTAGACAAAGAACATGTGGAGCTTTATAAAGACCTGCTGAGAAGCGCATAAATCTGGTGTCGTTTGCGCATCGTGAACCTGCGTGACTATCACTGGAGACGATGGCGGCCTCGTTGCTCCTCCTCCGTCACCCGTTCTTACTTGGGCACAACCGTGGGGGGGGAAGCTGCTGACACGACTCGAGCACGCGCTCCTTGCGCCCTAACGGTTCCCCACCACACTTGTCAACGTGACGCGAAATAAGGAACAGGTGAAGTTCTGTGTCCCCCCTCGTCACTTACCCGGGTGGCCGGCCCGGAAATTAGGGCCGAGCGTGAGGGGAACGGTCCAATCTGCATTTCCTGGAAAGTCAACCTGCTGACCTCTGTCTGGGGTTCCCGTCTGGGGGTCATCTCGCGGCCCTGGGTTTAATTCCCGGTCAGCAACTGCACCGGGCGCAAACAGCAGCACAGTGTGCCATGTGTTGACCTTGGCAGGTGACAGACTAGGATTTATTTACTCCTCGGTTCCCCAATCTAATATAATGCAGTCTTTTAACCAGCTGCACCTTTAATGCTTAAAGTGAGCAAACCATTAAGTTGAGGCTGGGGTCCGCTGTTCGCCAGCAGCCAGCCACCGCACGATTCTCATACGGGACCTACTTTCCCGATCAAGATGCCTCAGTCCACCTTTTTATCCCTTCTGACAGCCCAGCAGGTGACACGGCTATTTAGAACAAGCTGCTCAAAGTCCTAGACTTATCCAAAATAGACTTTGTTTTCAGCTTCGTCACTAAAAATAGAAATTAACAGGATACATTCTGATGTCTGCTTTCAGGGGAGAGAAAACTGCATTTGTTACGTGCATAGTTCCACCTGGACTCCAGCCACGTCCTTCTGGATGGTCCAGTATCCTGTTTTCCTAGAAAATGGAAAATTAGCCACAGCCCCTAGGAGTGGAGGACACACAGAAACTGTCCACCTCCCCAAATGTTACTAGCGGTAGGAACGGACGTTTCTCACATTTCCTTTCTTCAGGCTTTATTCTGGTTTTTAACGTGTGTAGTGTTCGTATTAGCAGCAAGGATGCTAATTTCCGTAAGTCAGAATGACTCAGGATGGGAAGACTAGCACTCGGGTTAGGGGTGTGGGGTGCACAGGTGGTGATGAGCATCTGCGATTCTGGCGTCGACGGTCGTACTGGAGAGGTCGGTTCGTACAGAACAGCGGCTGGTAGCAAAGGCTTCACTGGAGCTTCCGTTCCCGCGGGTCTGTGGCCGGAGGCCGGAGTCGGCCCATCGGTGCGCAGTGGAGACTGGACTTTCCTGGGTGGGCAGCTTGTAGGTGGTTGGACCGGAGGGGACGGGGTCTCACTCTCGCTCGTCAGTAAAGAGGGGCCACTTCTCCTAACAGGTAGGTGAAGTGGGAGTTGCTTTGAAAGTTCTGTGTCACGAAGTCGAACACGGGTTTCTCCCTGTGCTATTTTTCTGCCAAGTTTCACAACCTGAGCTTTATTAACACGGCAAGGATCGGACGGTGCAGAAGTCGCAGGCGCTGCACAGCTGTCCTGTGACTGGGACTCAGTGCCACAGTGGCGTTGTCGGGGTCCTGCCCGGCGGGAAGGGTCCAGCCAGACAGGCTTAGTCGGGCAGCGTCTCTTTAAAGATATAGAAAAATCAGTTTGAATTCCAAGCTGCTTGTCTGTTTCTAAGTAACGTTTGTTCAGAACACTCGAGAATGACTCACAGAACGCCGCTGCTTTCAAATAGCTCCGTGTCTCCTCCTCGCTAACGACGAAAGGCAAGGCCATGCCAGCGTGGTGATGGAGGCCACAGTCACTTAGAAAAAAGTTAGCTTATTTTTGTTTTTACTTATGAAAAGACAAAGCCCGCTCAATAATCTACTGTAAAGCTTCTAAACTACAAGCCTGGCAAGTACTGGATTCAAGATGGCCCTTTTATAACCCTCACCTCGCGGAGAGGCCGTCTACACTACCACGGTGACGCAGCTGTATCCGTTCCCAGCGAGCTGAGCCCCGGGGGAAGGAGCCTCTACACCTGACTCAGAAGTTCGCCCGGGGAAACATCCACTTCCACGAAAAGCCTAAAAATGTGGGATGTGCCACAAGGTGGAGGGACCATTCCTGGCCGCCCCCCCCCTCACCTCCCAAGACAGCAGCGGGGGCGGCCCTGGGGGATCAGGGCCCTGAGCCTCTCAGGCAGACTTGCCTGCTCTGGTCACCAAGGGTCCCACAAGCTGGCAAAACCCCCACTTAAAACTGAATAAATTAAAATGATATATACACATAAATATTCTGGGGGACAGAATTCCTAGCTGCAACCCCCAAAAGGCAATTTCACCAAAACACTAAAGCCTTACACGCGTTAGATCAGATCCACTGTGGGCCTGGGGACTGGCTAATGCCCTTGACGGCAACTCGGAAGGCGGAATACTTCTTGACAGGGGTCTGCTGCCCTTCGCTCACGTCCCGAAACCGCGCCCTGAGAAGCCTGCTCCCTCATCTCCACACGTCAAGTAAAGGACAGGCAGCCACGATGAGCCAGCGGGAAGGGCAGCGCGGCCCCCACGGCTGACGGTCACGCCTGCGCACTGTCCTCACCTGCGCAGCCACCCGGGGGTGGGGGAGGCCCTTGGGGCCGACGGCACAACGCCGCCTGCAGGTCTTCTCCGCATGGCCCTCTTGTCCTGGGCGGAAGACGGTCCCCACAGGGACGTGGCCCAGACTCTGGGAGGCTTGTGCTTGCAGCAGAGCGAGGCTCATTACCACGGCCAAAACTCCAGACTGCCGGGTACCTGGGCAGCAGAACGCGCCCCCCACCCCCCTCCCGGTACGAGAGGTAAACCGATTTCCTCGGAGAGCATCTGAGCAGCTCTGGCAGAGGCCGTCGCTGTCTGGATTTGGGAGCGTGAGCGAGTCTTCCCATCCTGGACCAGCCCTGGCTGTGTGGGCAGATGTCGCCCCGACCACACGGCCCCTGGGGACAGGAAGAGCATGGACGCGAAGGGCAGAGCTCCGACTGAGGCCAGTCGCTTAGGGTAAGCAGCAGTGTTTGCGAAGTTTCCTAGGATGAGAATAAGGAAGACGCACTGAAGGCGGAACATCAGAGAAGGCAGTCGACGTACAAGAAGATATAAAGGGAACACAGTAGGGCTATTTCTTTTTTTTTTTTAAACATGGAGGACAAATAAGTTAATTCCTTCAAGATCTTTTCCCTGGAGAAAGTTATTGCTGCATTACGGGAAGCACTCGCCGAGCAGGAACCCAAGCTCAATTCTCAAGAGAAGAAAATGTGTTTGCTTCACGTCACGTGGGCGGATCCCACATCCTAGTGGCAGAAGGTGGGCAGTGGGGGGGGGGCGGGGGGCGGGGGAGTTTGTGGCGAAAGTGAAGCCTCTGTCCTGGGCCCTCGAGGAACCCGCCCCGGGCCGGTAAGGGGGACAGACAGGGGCACATGCTGCCGCTCTGCGGCCTCAGGATGCATGGCTGCCGTGCCTTAATCCTGAACTCCAGTCACATCAAAACCTGCCGTGTTTTAAACAAGTGTGTTAGCAGCGCTGGCCCCCCCGGCCCCCCCTTCTCTTCCATCTCACGCTCTCTGACCTGCCACCCCCCCCACCCCCAGGTGTCCAACACAGTTACTCACATTCAGTGTCACCTGTCAACAACTCCAAGCTAAAGATCAAATTTTTTTCCTCTTTTGCCTAAAGCTCCAAACTGTTTTGACCTTTTTGGAGGTGTTGTTGGCTGTTCTGTCTGAAATCTGTTTTCCAATCAGCACAACGGCCACAACGGAGCAGCAGGAAGCTAAGAACGCTGCTCCGTGGAACACCGCTGTGCTGTGCAGCCGGAACCAAAATCGCTGTATCAGGAGGTGAAACGGCAGAGGCAGAGGCAGGGAGCCTACTGCAAAGATGGCTACTTAAACACGACAGAAACACGGAAGAAAAAGCAACTCAGGACGTCCAGCCAGCAGCCCGCCCGCGCACCAGCTGCCCTTGGAGATGCCATTTCCCCGGGGTCTGGGTTTCAGTGCTTCCCAAGTGGCCGGGCAGACGGTGGACAACGGCTTTCCTTGCGCCCTTGAACCCCGCCGCGAGGCAGCTCGCCGCAGAGAAGGCGGGCAGGGGCGTGTGTCTCTCCGCTCTCGGTCCGGCAGAGTCCCGCTGCTGTCCCCCGTGGCCCCAGAGGGCTACTGTAGCGACTCCGGGATGGCGTGGACGACGTGGGCTGCCTCTGTGGCCGCCGCGGGGGAGCCGAAGAAGGTGCTGGTCTGATTCCTCTGCTGGTCCCGGAGGTAAGGAGGAACGGACGAGCTCTTGATGTGCAGAATCCGGGTGTCCATCACCTGACAGTCAATCTGCATCATCACTTCGTAATCCTGCCCGTTGATCACGTTCTCTGTGGGGAGGAACGCACGTAAGGAATACATATCAACATTCAACCGGGCGCGCAGCCCTGCCATCAGCCTCGGTCCCAGGAAGACATCAATAAGCTTTAACGGCTACGAACTGTCAATAGGCTTTCGAGGGAAGGGAGGGACCCCATCAGCCACCAGGCAAAGCCCTACTGGGCTAGGCGCTGGGATGGCCCGTCCTCCGTTCCGGCTCCCAAACCACCTCGGTTCAGTAAGGTCTTGGAGCTGGGGCCGAGCCAAGGCCAGAGCACCTGTCTGCAGACCAGCCAGGAAGACTCAGTGGTGGCAGAGGGAAGAATGCATCTGCGCTCCCTTCCCCCTCAATAGTGTGGATGAATCATCGTCAAAAGAACCAACCGATCCTGTGCATGGCAGGGAAACTTTGGCCGAGACTGCTCACCTGCTACTCATCATCAGTCATGTTTCTGAATTCACTAAGATGCCCGGCTCCGAGCTGAAAGGCCTGCCTGGGCAGCATACAGTGAAGACCGGCAACAAGCTGTCCCCATCGCTCCCCTTCCAGGGTTCTTGATTCCTGGTACAGGAGGGAGTGCATTTCCCATTTGGGATCAGCGGCAGTGCCAGAGGACTTGCAGGTAAACCAGGGGCTGTGCGAGGTGGAAACCGGAAAACCACACAGAGCCACGCCTGCGTAACATGTGCCAGGGAATTCATCGTGAGCTTAACATACACAGCCACGTGCTCTTACTTCCTAAGAGGATGAAAAGTCTTTATTTTAGGGAGAGAGCCACATGATTTCCTGGTTTGTAATTCTGGGTACTCGCTTTCCAACTTGTAGTTAATGAAATTTGGGCATAAAACTGATGAGGGGATTATAAGCAGAGAGTCTTTGCAAGGCCAGCTGGACATTCACAGCAACGCGGTTAGAAGGTGTGAGTGTGGACTAACGCCTGAGTCTCCGTTAGCATCTCCCCTGTGAGCCTGGAGGAGGGAGGGGGGCCGGGCCAGGGCCGAGCTCACTACCTGTTTATGAAGATGATACTCAGCCCACCAGTGACTTTTAAAATTAAACACTGGGCTTCTTTAGGACCAGGAATTGAACTTAAAAGTAGAATTTTGTTTTGTTTTGTTTTGTTTTGTTTTGTTTTGTTTTACTTCCACACAGTGCATGCCAAGTACTATAAATCTAGAGGAAGAAAATCCAAAGTCTGACATGTGATCTTCAGATTCCACTGTTATGTCTGGGAACTCTGAGCCATGGAGGGTGCTACAAGTTAGGGTTTACAGAAATGCTCTAATCCAGGGGGTTGTAGATTAGGGTCTAATGCATAGACTTCGGGAGTCCATACGTTCCCTCAAATTGCATGCCAAGTTTTGCGTGCTCATTTTCCTGGACAGGGACCCCAATCACATTCTCAACGGGATCTATGAAAACGATCAGACCTAATTACCTAACAGTTTCCAGTTCCTTGAGCAGATGTTATAGTCTATTTTAAAGCTAATGGAAGACACCACTCCTCTACTTCTAGTGGTTGGTTATCTGCCATAATTTTTTTAAATAGTCTCCATTGATGATTAATTTCTCATTACAAGTCTTGCAAATGTCTTCTATTACACCTGAAGCTGACTTCCTTCTTTCCCACTTTACTAGGGAGGAAGGACTGTGAGTAGCTCTTAGGCACTGACTAACCCTTAACCTTTAAGAAAGGTTGCTATGGACACCTCAATGTTAGGAGTCCTGCCATGATGCAGTGACAGCTAAGTAATCTGCTTAGCTTTAAAAAACAAAACAAAAGTGAGGTATAATGGACATAAAATACTAGTTTCAGGTGTACAACTTGGTGATTCGACATTTATATACACTGCAAAATGACCACCACAGTACATCTCGTTATCACGTCTCACCGAAGCTAATAGAATAGTATTGACTGCATTCCCCTTGCTGATTAAAGCCACACGACTTGTTTTATAACCACAAGTTTGTACTTCCAGATCCCTTTACTATTTTGCTCCCCTCTCCAACCCACCTCCCCCTCGGGCAAACACCAGTCTGTTCTCTGTCTAGAAGTCTCTGTTTGGTTTTGTTTCTCTTTTAGATTCCACATATAAGTGGAATAGGTCTTTTTGTGTCTGTTTATTTAACTTAGCATAACATTTGCTTAGTCCATCCATGTTGTTGGCAAAAAAGCAAGATTTCATTTTTGTTATGGCCGAGTGCTATTCCGTCATACATATAAATACATATACATCTTTTTTTTTTTTTAAAGTTTCCTTTTGAGAGAGCAAGAAAAAGAGAGCAGGGAAGGGGCAGAGAGGGAGAAACAGAATCCCAAGCAGGCTCTATGCTGTCAGTGAGGAGCCCAACGCGTGGCTCAAACCCACGAACCGTGAGATCATGACCTGAGCTGAGCTCAAGAGTCAGACGCTTAACTGACTGAGCCCCCATGCAACTCCCCCCTCCCCCACTTGCTTATTTTTGCTTTTATTTCTCTTGCCTTTAGAGCTAGATTAAAAAAAAAAAAATCACTGAGATCGATGTCATGGAGTTTACCACTTAGGTTTTCTTCTAGCTTTATGGTTTCAGGTCTTCAAGTCTTTAATCCACATTGAGTTAATTTTTGTATAAGGTATAAAATAATGGTTCTGTTTCATTCTTGGGCATGTAGCTGTCCAGTTTTCCCAGCGCCATTTACTGAAGAGCCTGTCTTTTCCCCATTGTATATTCTTGCTTCCTTCGTAAAAAATTAATGGACCATATATAGGAGGGTTCATATCTGTGCTCTTCCTTCTATTCCAGAGCCACGTGTTTTTGTGCCAGTACCACACTGTTTGGATTACTATTGCTTTGCAGTATAGTTTAAAATAAGGGGGCACGATACCTCTGGCTTTGGGCTTTCTCAAGATTGCTTTGAGTATTCAGGGTTTTCTGCGGTTCCACACAAATTGAAGAACTGTTCTAGTTCTGTGAAAAATGACATTGGTACTTTGATAGGAAGGGCACTGAATCTGTGGATCGCTTAGGTTAGCATGGAGAGTTAATAATATTAATTCTTCTAATCCATAAGTATGAAATATCTTTCCAGATAAATGGATAATGAAATGAAATATATTCAAAGACATTCTGAAATGTCTTACAGTTTTCGGTGTAAGGTACTTCACCTCCTCGGAGGTATTCTTCTTGACATAACTGTAATTGGGGTTATCTTCTTGATTTCTCTGATGGTTTGTTATTCACACATAGAAACACAACAGATTTTTGTTTATTCACTGTGTATCCTACAACTTCACTGACTTTGTTAATTCTAATACTTTACTGTGGAGTCTTGAGAGTTTTCCATGCCCGGTATTATGTCATCTGCGAACAGTGACAGTTCTATTTCTTTCTTTTCAACTTGCAGGCCTTTTATTTCTTGCCTAATTGCAGTGTGAGGACGTTCAAAGTGTTGAGAGTGGGCATCCTTGTCCGGTTCTTGGTCTTCGAGGAAAAGCTTTCAGCTTTTCACCACTGAGTGGGATGCTGGCTGTAGGTTTGTTGTGTATGGCCTTTATCATGTGGAAGTATGCTCTTTCTATACCTACTTTGTTTAGAACTTTTACAAGTGGATGTTAAATTAAAAAAAATTCTTTTATAGTTTATTTTTGAGACAGAGAGAGACAGAGTATGAGTGGGAGAGGGGCAGAAGAGAGAGGGAGACACAGAATCTGAAACAGGCTCCAGGCTCTGGGCTGTCAGCACAGAGCCTGATGTGGGGCTTGAACCCATGAACCGTGAGATATGACCTGAGCTGAAGTTGGATGCTTAACTGAGCCACCCAGGCGCCCCATGGATGTTTAATTTTGTCCAGTGCTTTTTACTGCACCTTTTGAGATGATCGTATGATTTTTACCTTTCATTTTGTTAATGTGGTGTTCTCATGTTGAGTAATGTGGATGTTGAACCATCTTTGCATCCCTGGAATAAATCCCACCTGACTGTGGTGTAGGATCATTTTAATGTATTTACTGAATTTGGTTTGCTAATATTTCGTTCAAGATTTTTGCATCTGTGTTCAGCAGGGATGTTGTCTTATAATTTTCTTGTAGTCCTTGTCTGGCTTGGTTATCAGGGTAATGCTGGCCTCATAAAATGAATTTAAAGCATTCCCTCCTCCTCACTTTTTGGAAGTTTGAGAAAGGATAGATTTTAAATATTTGTTTGTTTGTATAGTTTAGTTTATTGTCAAGTTGGTTTCCATGTAACCCCCAGTGCTCATCCCAACAAGTGCTCTCCTCCATGCCCATCACCCCCACTTCCCCACTTCCCCACCCCCCATCAACCGTCAGTTTGTTCTCAGTATTTAAGAGTCTTTTATGGTTTGCCTCCCTCCCTCCCCTTAACTATTTTTCCCCCTTCCCCTCCCCTATGGTCCTCTGTTAAGTTTCTCCTGTTCCACATATGATTGAAAACATATGGTATATAAATGGAATACTACATGGCAATGAGAAAGAATGAAATCTGGCCATTTGTAGCAATGTGGATGGAACTCGAGGGTATTATGCTAAGTGAAATAAGTCAGGCAGAGCAAGACAGATCTTAAATCTTTAAATGTTTGGTAAAATTCACCAGTGAAGACATATGGCCCCAGACTTTTGTTTGTTTGGAAGTTTTTGATTAGTGATTCAATCTTAATAATTGGTCTATTCAGATTTTCTATTTCTTTATGGTTGGCTCCGTTTTGGAAAATTGTGTTTCTATAAATTTATTCATTTCTCCTAGATTATGCAACTTGTTGGCTTATAACTGTTTATATTTTCTTATGATCCTTTGTATTTTTGTGGTATCAGTTTAAGCTTCATTTCTGAAATTATTTGAGCCCTTTTTTCTGGTGAGTCTAGCTAAGGTTTTGTTTATCTTTTCAAAGAACTTGCTCTTAGTTTCATGTATCTTTCCCATTATTCTTTTAGTCTCTATTTTGGCTCTGACCTTCACCTTCTTCCTTGTACCAACTTTGGGTTTCGTTTGTTCTTTTTCTAGTTTGTTTAG